TTTTTATTTATCATACTTACTTACTTACCTATATACGAATACCTACTTGTTGCTATTATTTTGACTTTGTAAAGTTGTTAGTAGAGAAGAGACCATAATAAATAAACTCAAATAAACCAACTCCCTATTCAGATGTGTGTTACTATGGGACCTTTTGTGTAGTCCCATTTCGACTTATTATCGTTTAAAATACCCCCACAGAAGTTTTTTATTATCGTAGTTTATATTTACGACTGAAGACGATATTTTTTAAACTTAGAAGTAAGTAAAAAAAAATTAATTTTGATATTTAAATCTTGAAAGGATTCAAAATCGATCTATGCTTATGTAGTTTAAATGTTTTGGTGGTTCCTAATTGGCACTTTTCTGATTTCCAGGAGAAGTGTTAGGTTCTTGGAATCATAATTTCATGCTGGAAATCGTTCAAGATATAATTGTTGAAGACACACCTACATAGGCTAAAAATCTGAATCCTTTGAACACAACATCTTATATTGAAATATGGTGGCACATATCGGCCATTATTTTTGTTGTCTTTCCATATCCAAATATGGTTTCCCATAGCCGCCACAACTTTTTATGTATCGATTTTGCATCATTCGAATTTTCAGTCTGAATTCTGTGGTTCTTGCAATTCCGCTAAAACTAAGCGTTTTTATGACGCCATTATCGTAACGGCCCTTCGATATTATTAGAAGCTTCTGCGATAGTGACGTCACCAAACAATTAGTTTAAGAGGAATTGCAGGAACAACAGACGTCTAAAAAAAGTGAAAAGTTTGGAAAACCTCTTTACAACCCCTTTAAACTTTTGTTGTAAAAAGGTGGAACGGGTAGTGACCTGCCCTATATTTCTGATTTGTAGAGATGAGGCTTCTACTTGTATTTGCCACCTGTGTGGGAATAATAGCCGCTGCTCCAGCCAGCGAATTGAAAACCGAGTTAGAAGATTTGTTGAGAAATCTGGTGGCCGAGAGGGATTTAGCTGCCAATGAAAAAAACGCAGTCAGTTTTGAATCCGCCGAAAATGATGTCAGAAGCGTTCGACAAGATGGAGGTGCATCCAACAATGATGCGTCCTCGGATGTTTCCGGTGAAGATCAAACCGGAAGAAGTCTATCAAACGCCGCCAGTTTTGAATCAGCCGAAAATGACGTCAGGAGTCTTGGACAAGAGGGCGGTGCATCCAACCATGATGCATCTTCGGATGTTTCCGGTGAAGATCAAACCGGAAGAAGTCTTTCAAACGCCGCCAATTTTGAATCAGCCGAAAATGACGTCAGAAGTCTTGGACAAGATGGAGGTGCATCCAACCATGATGCATCCTCGGATGTTTCCGGTGAAGATCAAGGCGAAAGGGGCTACGCTGTAAGCAAAGAATCTGCTGAAAATGACGTACGAAGTCTAGGACAAGATGGAGGTGCATCCAACCACGATGCGTCTTCGGATGTTTCCGCTGAAGACGGCCAGGCAGATCAACGAGATCTTCTCAACACACTGCGTGCTCTGCTACACCAGAAGGAAAGAGAATTGTCTGACGCCAGCGGAATACAGTAGAACGTGAGTGTATTGAAATACTGTGCCCTTACTTTGCTCATACGCCACCCCCACCCCCCTCTCCCCTCCCCCACACACACAATTGTCCCGAGCTAATCGTTAAATTGTTGGCTACCTTTAGCCAATTCGGACTTCATTAGAGTGTAGAATAGCCTGGTAGGTTGTGTTTTTCACATTTCCACTACTCTTAATTGTGGCTCGTTCTTCATATAAAGCCACTCTTATCTAGCTATGTATAATTAAATTTCTATTTCAGATGCCGAATCTATAACTGACGAAGAATTACCATTATCCATCCATTCTATCCAACTGGCAGCCTGGTTATGTTCATGTCGAGTAAATGAAACAAAAACTAAATTTATTCTGACATTGTTAATATAAAATTCTTTGTTTGAATGACTGAATTAATTTTTTTTTATCATGTTGAAGAGCATCCGCAATTGGTAGTTTGCTTTAGAACCGTTTATTTGGTGAAGTGTTTTTTGTTTCTGATTGGATGGCTGTGTGGAATCCAGACCTTGTCAAACTTCTTCTTCTCCCTCATTTTATCCAAAATTAGTTGCCTAGTAACCGTATCAACAAACCTGTTATCAGCATTCGGTCTCCTTGGTTCCTGAAAATAATCACGTCAATTCATCAAAATCGGGAATTGACTGAGTCTGAGGGGTCGGACAAGCTGACGCAGAAAGGTCAGGTGCCATACAATGCCGATTAAAAATATTCAGACAGGGCGAGCACAAGGAACACACATGGGGTGAGAGACTAGGTGGACATTGGGCTGGGGTCTCTAGGATCTTCTCAGTGCCCCATGTACTGGAGATAGCGAGATGAGGAATGAAATAGTGTGGATAAGAATCCGCATCATTTGGCCTTATTGTTGTTTGCAAGACCACAGCAAACACACCCATCCCAAAATGCAAAAAAAAACCCCCAAAAAACGCATATGCTGCGCCAATCATCAAACAAAATGTAAAAAGACTTACATCTTCATCAGTGGATCTGTCAACACCACTATCATTAATTTCATTGGCTATCAAATCTTCAACGTCTGCTATATCGAACGTGTCTCTCGTGCCAGTTTCTGATGGGGTGTAAGTGCGAGCTGGAAGACTTCTGTTTACGAAGTTGTCTGCCCTTGGTGTTGGCTTCGGTTCTTCTTCCTTTGGGTTTTCATTGGTTGATTTTGACCGACCTTTATCGTACTTGTGGTTAACATTGATGACGACGACTTTCGTGTCAGGTTTGGATTTCCCGCCTTTCTTTCCATCGTCGGCGCCATCTTTGTTTTTCTTTTCGTTGCTATCATTCTTTCTGTCATCGTTGTCCTTGTCTTCCTTGTCGTCACTGCGATTCGGCTGCAGATCTTGTGCTCTCAGAACGATAACTTCCGTCTTCTCTCTAGGCTGGTCGACCAAAAATCGAGGAGAGTCGACGCTCTTGACTACAATTGGTTGCGGCTTCTGCTTCGGTTTAGGGTTTTGTTTCTTACGCTGTCTGTCTGCTTTGACTCTCGGATCATCTTCAAGAATGTAGACTGTGGTCGGGTTTGTCGTCTGTGATACGGGCTCTGAGCCATTTTGGTGGATCTTAGTTGTGACCAACGTCCGATTGTTTCGCGTATTGTTACCATCTTCCAAAAACCAGTGGCCATTTTGTTTGTCACTCTTGAAATCGTTTGGCGTATAGTTTGCAACATCGTTTGAATTATATTTTCGCGCCTTGTTGCCACTTATCTCACCATGGAAACCACCATGATGTGAGAACCACGTATTGCTGTCAATATCCGCTTGGTTTTTCCACACAACTCGACCATTGGCGTCGGTGGTCTTCTGGAAAGAGAAAATTTAATATTTTGATACATTTATATACCAAACTCGGTATCCATTGAAAGAGTTCATATAGCTTGGAATCCTTTTTGGAGAGTTACTATCCATGTAACGAGAATAATGGTTTCGTTTGATACTGCACAGAGCCTTACCTGTGGTTTTACTGGTGTGTACATACTGCCATCCTTCAAGGTATAAATACCTTCACTTTCATCAAACACCATATCAGCAGACGGCCTCCGTCTTCGTTTCTTCCCGCCACAACAGCCAAAGAACCCGCCATTTTCCTCATATTCAGTCTCGTTCCGTTTATGGTAACCGCCTCGACCGTACTCACCCTTGAAGGGAAGATAACTTTGATTAATCCATACAGTCATTGCAGTCTATTAAGTATTATTTTTACGCTCGATGCTCGTCGCTTATCAATTCGTGACATCATTTTCGGGAACATAAACGTTATATTATTATTATATTCCTCGAAAAATCATACGATAACAAAGTGTCACTGTGAAAATACACATTGAGAAATACAGTATCTATTATTATAGATCGTACGGATTTTTTAGGACCGGTTTCCAGCCATCTTGTTCAAATCACGACCTCATTCGTCATACTTCATGGTTAATAAGACTATGTCAAACCCGTATTCGTGATACGATGGGGTACTAGCCTAGTTACCACACAAGGTTGGTACATGACAAGTTAACGTTCGCTTCCAGCGGATGCTGATATCGTAAACTATATCGTACCACACAATTCTGTACCCACCTTATGTAGTGGTCTAACTGGTATAAACATAGTTCCATCAGACATGGTATAAACACCAGCACTCTCATTATACAGTAGTTCACTATCTTCATTCCATTCTCCACCTTCCCTCCTTCCTCCACCTCTACCGTTCTCTCCTCCAAAACACAAGAATCCTTCACCGCGTCTTCTACTGCAAAATCATTAGGATATGTAAGATAATACCAGCAGTTCGTAACAAAACAGGGATAAGACGTCGTGTTCATTTTTTCATTTTATTAACATGAAGATAAGGAGAATGCTAAGAGCATTACAAAGATAACAACTTCTGTTTCAAACATAACATCCTGTGTACAAACTTTGGCCCAAAGTTTATGAGCTTCTAACAGACCATCTATCAGATGGCTCCTTGAAAATACCTTATTGGGTCCGAACTGACCCGAATCTCTCACGACCTCAATAAAAGTATTGATACGTACCAACAACAAGCCCAGATGATACATCCAGTGCAAGACAGCACTGATAATATCAGTATAATCGCCAGTAATATCAGTAACCATTCTGGACCTACAAACAATATAGAGGCGACATCTTGAAAAGTGGAACCAAGTGTTCTTGCAGGGTAAGAACAGGCCTACCTTATATATTTGGGAGAATCACAGCTTTCCCAAAATCGAATAGCCCCTCCATTGGGCGTTTTTCTTTTCAGTACCTTTCATTTACATCAAATTGACAAATCAACGATAGGCATACTTACCCCATGTAAAAATGTTGTCATTATTGCTGATGACATCACAAGATGGCGTCACATCCCAACCGGAAGTGGCGTCACAGTTGATTATCTTCCTACCAACTAATTGGAATCCCGACAGGCACTCGTACTCCGCTTCATTCGTACCGGAAGTCAAAACTTTTCCATTGTTGATGGCGGGAACCGTGTTACAGATACTAGTTGTCATGGTTTCGGCAGAATAACAAACTATAGATGAATAAAATGTAATTTTTTCCCGTAATAAACAAATATAACGCTTTTGATACTTTTATGTTAAATTTTTATAAAATCATGATATTGTGTGGTCTGCTTATTTAGTTCATCCCTAAACCTTTTTTCAATTTTACAAGAAATAAAATAATGTCTAAAAAATATATTAACTGTACCTTTAAAAAGTGTAGTAGTCTAATCACATCATTCTAGAAGGTCGAAATAAAAAGAAAAAACGTCCGAACGCCACGAAAGCAAATGAGCTATTAAGCCCTATTAGGGGCTATTAATTCCAACCATGATTCAAAACAATCGGAAAAATCAACAAAAACCATTTAAATTGCGTTATTCCTTTTTAACCTCATTTTAAGTTCAAGTTTCTTTATAACTTCGACACTTGGACATGAAAAAGGGCCATGTCGTTTCCAAGGAAACCGATCCAAACAAATAAAATCTTCACCTTATTTCCAATAGAATCGTATCCAAGTTGTTAACCCATGACGTACATGAAAAGATTTGCCCATTATATAAGTTTTTATAAATATTTGACTTTTATTGTATTGTAAAACGAGTGTGAAATGGTAGAAGTTAAGAGTCGGCCTTATATTTACCCACCTTGATTAGTTTGGTCATTTTTGGACAATTATTGACCATCGAAGACGTAGAATCCTCATCTAGTTAGCCCCCTTTTCAATTATTCCAACGAGTAAAAGTAATCGCGAAAGCAACCAACTGAATTCTAACAATTTTCAATCCTTTTTTTTAAATCATTAATTTCGTCAAAAGACAGAAATAGAGAGAGAGAACCGCGGCTCCTGGAACACCTCACTTAATCTTTTTCAATATGTAGTTGCCAAAACACTCAAATGGATCCCCGGGTTTCGGATACAAGTACACTATATTTGTTCAAATATGGTCAAGGTTTGCAACAAGGTTCCTCTCTTTTACAATGTCTATTCCATTTGTGTGCAAACGATTTTGAGTCCATTAAAGGCAAAAAACAATTATTTAACGTCTTTTCGACTATTCTTAGGTGTAAAAACAATAACTTGGGTAAGAAAATTTATAAGAAAAGAAAATCAGGTTAATTTAAGGAGATAACGTAGAAAGCAATTGGATGAAATTGGATTTTTGAAGATTGGCTGTCCAATGTTATAAATAGAATACATAAACTTAAGTAATCCACAGAAATATTCAACGGAATATCCAGGTCGACAGAGTTTAACCGCATTTTCTTCCAGTCGAATCAAAGTAGAATTCAGAATCTAGTAGCGCTGTGTAGATCGGACATGTGGTCGCCAAACCGGGTTATCTTTGGAGCCTTCTACTTTCTTTTTGTAGTTTTTGATTTCGTCCAGGTAATATTTAGATCTGTAGAAACCTTGGTTGCTTGGTGAGTCAAATACCTGCTAAAACAAAAGTAACAAATTCAAAATGTGTTCTATGTTTATTTGGGATTTTCGAGTTAATAAGTAAAATGTTGGAGTTGATAAGTAAAATGTTGGAGTTGATAAGTAAAATTTTGGAGTTAATAAGTCGGATCGTTTTGTGGAAAGCGATGTACCTAGAATTGCAATACCCACCTTATTGTGCCCGGATGAATCTGTCGAGGACTTGTATCCACGACTTGTTTCACTTCCGGGAGATGTCATCCATTGAGCATCTCCATGGTTTGGGTACCTTTTGTATCTTTCCGGACTGGCTTCTGGTTGATTCTTGCTGTGGATGTGATGATGGAAGATTTCCACGGTTTTTGGCTCGTTGAGGAACTTATCGTTGGATCGCCGAAGCACCTTTTGTGAAGCAGTGGGACTAGATTTGGGTTCGTCATCATCTTCTAAGTGTATGTATGTCAATGGCACTCTGATATCCATGCGGGAGGATGGTCGATCTTGGTCGCGGTCGTCGTATTTCTCTACCGGAATCTTCACCGACTCTTCGGTGACAAATACTCCAGACGAAGAAAGCGGTCCATGCTCGTTAGTTTCAACTGGTGTCATGGTGTTTTTGGTTTTGGCAGTTGCGTTCGTTCTAGGTTGTAGGTTTCTGAATTCTTGCCTTTTATTTCGAGTTATCTACAATAGCCATTATTGTCATCAGAAAATAAATCAAACGCAGCGTTTAAATCATCGAGTTAAACGGTATATAGCTGATATAAAAAAAAACATGTAAAACTACTGGAAGACATAATTTGGGCGATTCAATAAAATGCGATAGCAGATACTTTATGGTCATAATGAAAATAATATTGCTTCGTTTTAGTATTAAGACTGGTCAACTGTTTCAGAATCTTTCCAAGAACAGAGGTGTTGGTCGGTTACAAACAGGTGGTTGAAATGGTAATATATAGTGATGCTTGGTTGGTGCCAGGAGGAGAAGATAGTCACAAGGTGGTTGTGGTTGGAGAAGAAGGCTGTGGGTGCAGGATGGTTGGAGACTGGGTGCTGATTAGATGTGGGATGAGGTGTCTCTCACCTGCTCGTCTTTGTCTCGGCTCTTCTCATTGGTTGAACCTTCTTCTCCTCCACCAATAGGATGCACTGTTGCCCCCTTCCACTTCTTGCTGCAAGGAACAAGATTCATTTTATAAGAAATTAACAGGATTTATGCCTTAATCTTGTCAAGCATTGTTGGATCCAGAGCAATTGAAAGAAAACCTCTTTTGAATATTTTTTAGATGTCAGTTTTCCATGGTCGGAATGTCTAAGCGACAAAAAGTTAAACTTACCAAAAACAACAGAGGACAACGCTGACAATAAACAAGATTAAAAATAGAACCAAAATAACTGAAACAAATATATACCACCAGTCAGGACCTGAATAAAAAATGGTCGCACGTCAAAATTTGAACGCGAACACTTTTACTTTTTGCACATCGCCCAGTCATCGGATCTTTGAAGTCGAAAGCGGCACACAGTGAGCTATAATGTAACTTTGCGAACTCTCTACCGGTTATGTAGAAATGTATTTGAGAGTTTTAGAAAGAAAGAACACTGAATGGTTCGAATCCACCGCTGGAAACTATTACTTAAAGATCAATTGGCCTCGCAAGTGCTCTCTATAGTAATTGCTTTTAACTCAGGTCGAGGGCGAGGGGTCTATTCATGAGTAAATGAGAGGTCTACCTACCAAACCTGTACAGATTACTCGAGGAATCGATGATGTTAAAATCCTGCTTTATAACTTGACAAGATGGCGCTTGTGGCCAACCATTGGTACCATCGCATTCTATCACTTTGTTTCCTGTGCAACAAAAATCAAATCGTGAGCAGAAATTACGTCAGACATAGCTTTAACGTCGTATCAATGCTGTTAACGATATTCGTCCGTGCATTATTTTGCACGGACGACATAATGACGCCATTGGTTTAATATCTGCAAAGTTTTAAACGTTGGTAGTAGCTGTAAGTTATGTTCATAGCTTGTGCGGACAAATCTAGAGACATATTCTTTAATTGGTAATTTATTACCTATAAGTTTGAATCCAGCAAGACATTCATACTCCACTCTCTCGGAAGTACTGGCGGTGATGTATCCATTGTTTATCACTGGTAAACTCGTACACGCCATGGTCTTTCTGGAATACATACAAACATAGTCTCTGACACCTAGATTTCGTCGCAGCTGTACGCAGACAAATTGGGACTGGCGTGTATCATTGTGAAATATATTTTGTCTCGTTTTTATCTGATAAAATCAGTAAGATGACAGCTCAATATATTTCAGGAAAATAAAACAGAAACGAATTTTCAAATGTCAAATGTTAATGGTCCAATGGTCAAATACAATATGAAAAATAATTTAATAACAATTTAAAATTTCGGGTTTCTATGTAAGATTCTTGAAATGTGGTCTCTGGAATATTAATCAACAAGATTGCTTGGATTTGCAAAAAGTAATACGTACCTGTATAATGCGTATTGGTTATCAGTAACCTGTTCTGTTTGGTATCCAGGTATCGAATGGGAATCATCTTCGTGTCTTTAGAAATATATCGAATTTCTGTATCAGTTTTATATTACACATTCGGAATACTGCGTCACGGGTTATTCAAAATTCTTATTGACCCTTTTTGTTGAACAACTCATTGAATACAGAGTCTAATAGTCGAAAAACTATCTGCTCAGTTGAAGATTTGTATCCCAAACATGTGCCTATGATGAGCTAAAGTCAATTGACATCTTTTGTGACTGTTAAACTCATTGAAGAGTATAATAATCTGTGATCAGAAAACTGAAAGTCATGCTCATAAATTCCAGTGCCAAAGACTTGACTTGGTGCATCACCGAATAGTTTTCCTATTCGTGCAGTCTGATTTCCATCTTTCAGGGAGGAACACGGAATACCAATCAGACCCTGTGGAAAAAATTACGAATCGGGGACCTATTTTGTCCGCATATTATTTTAAACAGTTTCGAATGCACAAATTTTCTAATTATATTCAATGTATCAACAAACGTGAATATTCACAAAGGATTCGAACCCTGCCCACAATAAATGAGGCAGTATTTAATGTAATGGTACGTAATATTAATTAACTCCTAACGTGTCTCGTGACTTCACTAGGTTACAATTTAATACTATACACAAATATCAAAAATTGTATCATTAGATCTTAGATCTATTCATTTGATTTCATTATTCCTTTTTTTTAAATCACGAATTCTTTTATATTTTTTAACTTAAGAGAAATATAACAACAGAACCTTATGACCGTTATTCTTATTTGCAATCCTACGCTACTGGTGAACGCTATGGTCTAAGGGTCACTTTATATTTTCAGTTACATTAATATACCTGAAAAAAACTGTCAGAGTATGAGAATTTCGAAAATTTCCAAACACCCACCCCTCCCCTCTCCCAATATATCAATGTGCTTGATCTATATTCTAGAATGTGCCCGGGAAAATAATGAATCATACTTGGAAAATTACCAGATACAATTTAAGTGTAAAATTTCCGCCATGCATTGAATATGTGTATTGCAGTGAATGTTAAAAATACTTATCGCGTTGTGTTTCAATGGCTTCTATAAAAGGGAAATGGGTCGGCCTATTTGAGCGTGAAATTTATTAAGATTAAAGGGTAACACTCTGGAATTTTTATATTAATTTTTTTTTTACATGTATACCAAAACCCCCCGCCCCCCTTGACCTCACCTTCACTAGTGCCCCCTATAATCCGCCACGGAAATTGCTTATTATTAAAATCTTTTTTACTTTTAGGGCGAATATTTTGAAAATTGTAGGAGGGCTCATATCCATAGTAGGTTTCATTATAGCAATATGTGTATATTGTCATTGTAAAAAAAAGAATCGAGAACAACAGATAGGTAGGTTAATCCAACTCAAATCAAATATCATAATCCAAATCAAATCAAATACCATCATCCAAATCAAATCAAATATCATAATCCAAATCAAATCAAATCAAATACCATCATCCAAATAAAACCAAATCAAATACCATCATCCAAATCAAATCAAATATAACTATCATCTGCGATACAAAATCAAATATCACCCAAATCAAACCAAATCAAATACCATCATCCAAATCAAATCAAACCAAATCAAATCAAATATCATAATCCAAATCAAACCAAATCAAATATCATAATCCAAATCAAATCAAACCAAACCAAATCAAATATCATAATCCAAATCAAATCAAATCAAATATCATAATCCAAATCAAATCAAATATAATCCAAATCAATCCAAATCAAATCAAATCAAATCAAATATCATAATCCAAATCAAAACAAATATAATCAAAATCAAATCAATAAAATCAAACCAAAAATTAAAATATTATATAAAAGTTGTATTTTATTATTATCATCCTTTCCTATTCGTAGTTATGGCGCCTAATCAAAGACAGTCGGAAGTAGCGAACACAAACCAAGCACAACCAGTAGTGTATACACAAAGAGGAACAGCAGTGGTGTATTCAAAACAAGCACAGCCCGGAATGGCGTACACAAACCAAGCACGGCCAGGAGTAGCTTATTCAAATCAAACACAGTCTGGAGTAGCCTATACCTCTGCTTCAAAGAATTTGGCCTTCACTGATGATGAATCAAAAGGGCCGCCACCAAAATATTCCGAAACGGAAACTACAAATGTGTTAGTTTAGAGACAATAGTGCTTATAATTTGGTCTACTGGAATAATGAGATTTTGTTGAAACGTTGTGTACAATAAAATTCAGGAGAAGTATACTATATAAACTGATGATGATAATGTAATCTGTCGAAACATTGTGTACAATAAAACTCAGGAGTAGTATACCATATAAACTGATGATGATAATGTAATCTGTCGAAACATTGTGTACAATAAAACTCAGGAGTAGTATACCATATAAACTGATGATGATAATGTAATCTGTCGAAACATTGTGTACAATAAAACCCAGGAGTTGTATATCATAAAATTGTGTTCCGTTATTTAATGGGATGTCTGCCACTAAATGTTGCTAAAGAACTGCTGTAAATATTTTATATTTTTTTTTAAATAAAAGGGAACAAAGTCAAAAATACGTTTTTGTGCTGTTTTAATGGTTTTATCTAATCAAGATGTGAGCCAATTTGCATGTCGAAAGTTCTTGCCGTCACATTGTGAAGATGATTTGAAGGTGAACACCCATATTTTTTCAATAGCTCTGTTGAAATGCCATTAAAAAGGCTACTGTAAAAGTTTTCACACAACCGGAGTAATGAATTAACTGTTGTCTGAAGCTTAACATATTTCAATATCGATTATCTCCCTTATATCTCCACTAAATTAGATTTTGATTGAGTGATGATTGATCCTCGCAACTGTTACACAATAATTTACTTCGTTATTTTCCAAGACATATTTTCTTTGTTTTAAATGAACATCCTTTCCACTGCGCAATTACGAGTCTGTCACAGATGCGTGGCGGGGGAAAAAAAAGGGGGGGGGGGGGAAGGTTGGGGTGTGCTCTTATCGTTTCGTATCTTGTATTCGTATTGTGGGCAAAAATGTACTCTTTTCCCAGTTTGATGTTCTCTTGTCTACTTTCATTGTTAGGAACGAAATTGAAAAAATATCAAGGTGGGAAAATATAATAAACAAAGTCGCGGCTTCGTTGCACAGGAATATGCACGTGCAAATTGACGCCATTATTTATGGAGTGATACATTTATGCACGTTAAACGTTGCCTTGTCCATGATCGCGGCAAATCATTCGGCGTAACCTATACTTTATAATCTATCCACGTTCACTGTTTATACAATTTATCCGTAGGTCTACATAATGTCGTTTCGCCGAGTGTTGAACTTGAAGTGTAGGAGTTAAGATAGGCGCCACAAACTACATGTCCGTGTTTAGGCGTAGACCTTTCAAATCCCGGTAACTTAATAATGTCTGTCAGTAGGCTTGAACAAGAACCGGTGCCGCGAGAGACAATATTTTCATGTCAGCAAGTAATTCAATTATCAATCAAACCCAAACCGCATCCCGAGGCAACGATTCCTGCTCTCTTCTTCAGCTGAAAATCAAACTTGTTTTCAGCCCCGATCATAAAAACAAATAATTTATGAGGACGGTGTGAGTTATTATTGACGTTTTTGTCAAATTTTCCATTTATCCCAGTCAGACAGGTTCTAACGACTGAATAATGACATAAAGATGTCATCAAAAATTAATGAATTTCATCACGAAATTCTCAAATTTATGTTTAAAATTCAGAGAAAACTAACAGTATGTCCTGCACCGTCTTGTACATAAATCATGGATAGAAAGCGCGCACATGTTAATGACGTGATCAGTTTCGATGTCATGTGACCATGACCCAACCGGAAGGTTAGCCACCATATTATACATTTCTTTGGGATTACACAGTTACAGAAAAAAATAGCTCGATATTTTAGGTAAGTTCTACTAATATCTATCCATTTCATTTTTGAAAAGTGTTCAGTTACATTCATTAGACATTCCTTTATCGATCAAGGCCAAAATTGAAGCCAATATGTCGCCCGTTCGAGAAGAAACTGCCAAAGAAGTACATTCATACCGTACATTCTGCAAGCAGATGCTATTTTCATTGCTTAGCTGAGCTCGGAAAATACATTTTTGTCAATTTTCTTTTCGTTTTTGATGCATGACAACCGATGTTTTGCATTTGTATACAATTTTTCCACTCTTTTGCAATGTTTTTGTACGAAATTGCGTGTTTTTGGTGATCGTAGCGAGGGGAAAAGTTTACATGATTGACGTGTGCCTGCAAACGTGACATAATTAAGAAGTATGTACTTGAACGAGTGCAGGGCATATGAAATGCAATACTTCGATTTTAGAGCTTAAGTTAAATTAGTGAATTTTCATTTTCCTCATAATTTGCACAATGAAGTAATTGCAGAGAGCTAAAAACACGAGTGTAAGGCCATCTTGGGCTTGAATATATACAGCATGGAGGCAATTGGTATATTGTGACCTACTTTGAATAAAATGGTTGCCATACATGAGTTATCAAAGCCTGGTTTGTGACCCCATTTGAAACAATAGAACACCATACCTCACAACTCTACTGAGATCCAAGTG